ATATATAGAGAGAGAGAGAGAGAGTGAGCAAGCATTATTCTTAATTCATACTACTGTCGAAACAGAGAGAGCAATTGTGTACAATTTGTAGATCTTCAGTGTGGAGTGTCCTCTAAGACATTTGTCCTCTATGTGTAGTTACCACATTGTATTTCTATTTTGTGGTGTTTTGAAGCTGTTGTAGTATGAATACCTATGGGAGGCTGAGACAGTACAATAGCAAATTCAAGGTCAGCCTGGACTGTATCAAAACACCAAGACCTTGTCTCAAAACACCAAACAACAACATAAAAGTTTTGAATTTTTTTTTTTTTTTTTTTTTTTGGTACCAGTGTAGTATATTTTATTGGGCACAGAGAGGAGAGATAGCTCCTGTAAAGTTTTTGCTGACAGAGATGATACTCTTTCTTTTGTGGGATTCAGTGAATAAAAAAAAAGACAACTTACGGCTGGCCAAATAGTTCAGCGGATTAAAGCACCTGCTTAGGCAGATACAGCCGCTGGGGTTCGATCCCTGGCATGCTGTGCCAGCCCTGCCCTGAGATGGCAATTGAGATTGGACCAAGTGGTACATGCCTGTAATCCCAGCTCTTGGGAGGCTGAACACAGGCGGATCACTACGAGTCCGATCTACGTAGTGAGACCTTGTAGACCCTGTAGATGCTGTACTAAAATAAAAAAAAAAGAGGCAACTTACAGGAAGTTTTATTTTCTTATAGCTATCCTTTATTGTTATAAAAATGTGTTTATGATTAGAGATGAGAGTTGAACATCAAACGTATGTGTTGAAGGAAGTGGATCTGATTATAAGGAGCTAAGAACAATTTTGAAGTGCTTATGTATGAGTTTTATTGCCCTCTTTCTCCTAAATCTGCTTGAGTTTAAAATCAGAGTAGCAGACCATCCTTACAACAGATTTTAAGCCTTGCTCAGACAAATCTTAACCTAACTTTGTGAAAATATGCTGCAAAGACCCCTGACCAGCTCCTTATTTGTGACTGCTTTTCTGTTTTTGCTCTCTAGAGAACGTTTTTCTCTTAAATCCTTTGAAAACTCTTAAAACACAAAATTTGTATGCTAGTTACAATATTTTATCTCTGGGATCTGGAGGATTTCACAGTTCTCTGTGCAAGGTGGTAGTTTTTTATCTTAGTATCAAAAAGGTCAGTGATAAAAAATTATTCATTTATTAAACTACTTTGTAAAAAAAAAAACCTTTATGGCTTCTATATGACTTTCCTTATGTTCATACTAATTTGTTGTATTTCATACTAATTTGTTGTATGTTCATACTAATTTGTTGTATTTAGAATTTAGGTTTGAACTTTGTGAATCCTTACTACCTTTGGTTTTGATAGTTTTTGAAATAGAAAGATTTCAGTCTAAAGCAGTTTTAATATTGCTGTAGTAGTAAAAGTACATAGTGTACTTTAACTACTATACTTTAACCTTAGCAAAATTATCTTTCTTAACAAAAATATATTTGCTTTAAGTTTCTAATGAGAGATTTTAATTATGCTCTGTGGTTATACATTTTGGATTTTAATTATACATTTGTCTTCATTTTCTACTTTTACAAATCTTAAACTTTTTTCTTACATTTCAGATGGAGATCTTATAACAATTTTTGATAGTTCTGACCTTTCCTTTGCAATCCAGTGTAGTAGAATACTGAAACTAACATTATTTGGTGAGTAGTAAACTTTCTAATACATTTACAATTTGTTGGAATTTTATTCAAAACTTTAGGGTTTTTTCTTTTAAGATCTTAGAACATTCAAAAGATTTTTAAGATTTTACATTGAAGGAGTGATTTTAAGTTGCTTGAAGCTTTCTTATGTGATAGAAGTATAATCCAGTAAGAACAGTTAAGATTATTTTGTTTCTTGAAATTAGATATAATTTAGGTATCTTTAATACAACATTGTAGTTTGATACAGCCATATCAGAATTTTTGAGTTAGATTATTTGTGTTTCTAGAAAATGACTAGAAAATTGATATGTTTTTATGTTGTATGTGTGCTTTGTTACCTTAAATAACAATTTGTGCCACTTGTATATCAGATTAAAAATAATTCCAGGGCTAAAATTCTGAGTTCTCTAAGACTTTATAGTTATCTTTTATAATATGATATATTTTATTTTGAAAACAAAGTGATAAATTTTAATCTTTTAACGTTTCATGTAGATCTTCATAGATTTATAAGGCAGAGGGACTGGGGTCTTGGCTCAGCTGTAGAGTGCTTCCCTGCCACGCATAGTACCCTGGATTCACTCTTCAGTATCACAGAGAAGAAAAAAAGACACTTGAAAGAGTTAAAGAGCTGCCCAATTTTCCTTAGTGTTTTATTTAGCATTTTTTTAAAAAAATGGTTATACTGAACATTAGTGTTTTATAAGATAAGGTCAAGGTCTGTTAATGTAATTTTATCAATTTGTCTTCATCTAGGAAAGACTACTGTGAGACTTCAAAAAGTACAACTTGTTTAAAAAATGTTTTAAAAAGTATCTTTTTACAGTAATGAATCCAAAATTCTACTGTTGGCCAGGTATAAGGTAGTTCATATTATTTGAATCTCCCTTTTTCTACAAAGCATTGAGGGCACATTAGACAAACTGTTTGAAATACATTTTTTTTGTTACACAATTAGGCTTTCCCAAGAAAGTTGATGGCCTAATAAATAGAACTAAAAACCAAGACCTCAATACCGAAAGCTAACGCTTGCAGTGTTATTGGTAGTCCTGCTAAAGAATTTAGCTTCTATAATAGAATAAATTGTTATTTGGTGTCTATGTAATATAGGTCCTGGACCCTAGAACCTCAGTAGGCTGTACTTTAAAAGAATATTTTGGAAAATAAATCTCTTCCTTGGCACATGAAAGGTCAAAGGAGTTTTGACTATTATGTGATGGGCTGTCAGCTCTTTGGGAGGTCTTCCTTAAGACCTGTAATTACTACTGGAGGCTGGGCTTAAATTTAAACTATATGGTTTGGATCCTGTGAGCTCAAATAGTACCATAGGAAAGAAAATAGAAGATACATCCTAGAGATTATTTTTTTCTTGCCCATTAGAAGAAACCATAGAATAAACAAATCCCCCAGCTTAACACAATATTTTTGGAGACAAAATAATACTTTTAAAAGCCATAAGTCAAAGAAGAAACTATAAAGGAAATTAGAGAGAGATAATAACTTGTATATAACAGATTTTGGAGGATGCTAAAGTTATTCTGGGGCTATTTATAGCCTCATTTATCTTGTTAAACTGAAGTGGAAATATATAATTTGTGTATTAAGTATAAAAAGTTACAAAAAGATACAAAAATAAATCCAGATATGTTTTCAGGAAAAAATAATGAACAGAAATGAACTAGAAGTCAGGGAGTTACTATAGTTAATAATTTTTAATATGGTACAATTTTACGGTAAGCCTCTGCTGAGAATAGAAAGATAAAAAGAAAATGCAAATAAGCAATATTGGGAATGAAAAAAAGCTTAACTATAGTTTACAATATTTTTGTTATGAATATTGTGACTTACTATTTAAAAGCAGGTGACATGTACAATTTCTCTAAGTAAACTTACTGCAGAAAATGTTTCAAGAAATTGGAGGAATTGATTTCTCCAATGAATATTATAGAGAGTGAATCAGTTGCACTAGCAAAAATTTAAGGAAAAGTTGATTCCAAATTAGATAAACTATCCTGGAAAATTGTCAAAGACAGTATGAACTAACTTACGGTGTTAGTATAACCTAAGCATAACTAAATATCACATTTTCCTCTGAAAAACCCAAGGAAAATGTACTGTAACTGATGAACTTAGATGAAAATATTAAATAATATTAACAAATAAGATTCAGTATTGAGTGTGAAAACATGAATTGGCCATGACTGAAGTCCAGGGGGTATAAGATGGCTTTACATAGGAAAATCAAATACTACTTTCTGTATAACAAGTTGAAGGAGAAAATTGAACCATATTCTTTGTATAGAAAGAAAAAGTTCACACATGAATCATATTTAACAGTCATAGCAACCAAGAATAAAAGTTCTTTAACCTCATATAATGAATCTGTCATGTAGAGCAATTATCATACAACAAATATGCACCCTCATCTGAAAAAATTATAAAAGGTAACTAGAATACTAATTATAATTATATACATCAAAAAGGATAATTTGAATGACATTTTTGTTCTAGACATAGTATAAAACATTAAAATACTAAAACATTCTTTAAAACCACATATAGGATTATAAAAGCAGAGTTCTTAAAAGTTCTGGTAAGATGCACATCAGTGTGCTCAGATAGAGACCACTGGGAACACATGTGTAATTGAACAAAGTTGGACCTACTGATTTGCTGCAGTAAGGAAGAATGAGCTCCAGGAAGAATAATGGGGTGTCTGAATGTATGTTAGAAATTTTTGTAGGTATTAGGTAATTTGGGGTAAGTTCAAGGAAGTAGGGCTCTGCCCTTGATTGAATGTTATCAGGAAGTGGGAGCAAGTCTGATTATCTTAGTAAATAGAAAGTAAGAGGAATGAATCTTACTAAATCTCCTGTAGAAGGTGGTAAGAATGAATTCAGGCTATAGCTGCAGTTGGTAAAATAGTTACTTAGATTTGGGTTAAGTGGATGTTTGGTCATTTTTATAGTTTGGTCTTGTTCTTGTTTCTCTCTGAATTTTCATGATTGTGGAGTAGTCTTGTCTGATGTTGATGTTCTTTGAAAATGTTTGTGTTCAACAGGAAGTAACACACAGCCTTTCTCTGCGTGTTAATCTGACTTCTGGCAATATTAAAGCATAACTCACAGTACCAGACTAGTTCCTGGCTATAAAGAGCTTCTTTTTGTCCTTCTTGGTACTGGAAAGAAATAGTACTGTCTAGTGAAAGTCAGTGATTAATTGCTGTAGGTAGAAGATAGTGTTGAACTTCCATACAACAGGGAGTTTGTGAATTAGTGGTGGATTATTCTCTAAAAGCTTGTATGGGTGCTGTAATATATGAAACAGATAATGAAGAATCTCCCTGAACCTTTTTATCACATAGCTGTTCTTTTCTAACTATACGTTTCTGAAGTTTGTATGTATGTGTATATAGTAATGGATATAATAATTGATAAAACATTTTAATCTATGAACTGCTACATTGAGATTTATGTTCAGAGCCCCCCCCCCCCAGTCTAGTAGTGATAGTCTTTGTCAATATATACAGGATATCACTTTTTAGTCAACTGAAACTCATTTGGACAAAGTGGGTAATTAAATAAAGTAATGTGGCCTTGATTTAAAAAGCAAAAGAGCCAATTCTTGTAAAGTAATTTTTGGTTTTGTGGATTATGTGCTGTAAAACAATTGCTTTGAAGGAAAATGTTGACATAGGTTTTAAATATATCTGCAGATACATTTTTAATAGGTTAGTTTTTTTAGAACAGCTATTTTCATTAACTTTTTTAAAATTAAGACTAGGCAAGGAGAATAGATTTATCAGTCACATATCTTAGCATTGTGTAGAGAGGGGCTGGGGAGATAGCTCAGTAGTATAAGTGCTTGCTTGGTGATCACAGGGTCCTAAATTCAATCCCCAGTACCACAAAAATCAATCAATCAATCAATCAATCAATCAATCACTCACTCATCATGTAGAGAGTAAATTGTGTTTGTCTTATTTCAAGAATACTGAGTATTGTAAAATATAATTAAGTTACAGAATTTCTATTTAAAGTGATATCAGTTAAACTTAATTTCCATTAAAATAGAACTTTCATCTTACTATAGTTGTTTTTTATTTATTTATGTATTTGGTACAGGTGCAGCTCAGACTTGTAGTGGTCCTCCTGCCTCAGCCTCCCTAGTGCTGGGATTGTAGGCACGTGCCACCATGCCTGGTTTTGCTGAGCTATCTCCCTGGCCCAGTTGTTTTCTCTAATAAACTTTTTACTAGTAAATTCATAAATTTTAGTTCTCACATCAAAAAAAGGCTGATGAATTTCTTTGTACAAAAAAATAGGTTATTATGAATAAAGAATTCTTTCTTTTAACAAATTAATTAAGGAACAATAGGTATCTTGTTTAATTTGATTTTGTTTCACTTTTTAAATGTATTTTCACTTATTGCATGTTCTATTGATGTATGTCCTTTTTATTTTTATTATTTATTTGGTTTTTATTAATTTTATTGAGAAACAAATAACAATGAGACAGTTTCAAAACCAATTAATAGGACAGTTTCAGTAATGAATACATTGCATATTGTTGTTTTTGTAGTGCTTATTCATAGTACAAGATGCAGACATGATATCCTGTCCAAACACTACTAGTACAAATCTTTCTTCTCATTGAATTGAGAAAGTAGCTGTATATCCATCCTATTTTGTATATACAGATATGAAATTGTCCTTCATTTGTATGCCCTTTTTTTGTTTAGTTTTGTCAGAGATGAGTATTCCATTGCCATTTAAATATTGTAGGTTAAACTAATGATTTTATTTCAGTTAATGGCCAACCAAGACCCCTTGAATCAAGTCAAGTGAAATATCTCCGTCGAGAACTGGTAGAACTTCGAAATAAAGTGAATCGTTTACTGGATAGCTTGGAGCCACCTGGAGAACCAGGACCTTCTACTAGTATTCCTGAAAATGGTAAAGTGAATCCATTTTAGTCTGATTTATTGTTTTTATTGCTTAGCAGATTGTTTTAAAAAGCACTCTCATTTGATGGGAGTAGGATAGCACCCTCAGTGTCACTACTTATCCATGCCTTGGACTCTACCTCTGTTCATGTCTGTGTTTCCAAACTTGGCTGTTCATTAACATTACTTGGAGGGTATGTTATACCAATCCCTGGATCTCATCAGATTTATTGGCAGGTAGTAGTAGTCTATGGGTATTTAACAAGTAGTCTTATACTTATGGATTTATGTTGTAGGTCAAGTTTTCAAATTCCTTTAACTCATCGGCTCTTTTGAATGTAACTGAAAATTAATAAATTTTAGAAATTTAAAATCATTCCATGAGTGTTACATAGAATATGAAATAATTTCAAATAAAAATGGTGTATTATAGTTCTTTTTTTGTGTTACTAAGGATCGAACCCAAGGACTTCATATGTGAGGCAATATTAAGTTACATCCATAGCCCACTGTAGTTTTTTTCTTTTTTTTTGTATTTAGTGCAGGGTCTACAGGGTCTCACTACACAGATCAGACTTGTAGTGATTCTCCTGTTTTCAGCTGCCCAAGCGTTGGGATTACAGGTGCACACCACCACACCCAGTCTCAACTGCAGTCTCAGCGCACCCAGGGGTTAGGGCCAGCATTGCAGGCCAGCATGGTTCATTTTAAACATAATTTTTAATAATTATAAAAAGAAAGACTGACATTTTTCCATTTTGTAGATGTGCACATTGATGTTGATGTAAGATGTTGACAAATTTGGAGCTAACATAGTTTTGGGACCAATTTTATTTTAAAATATAGATTGAAGTTTACTGTGTATCTTTCTTGATTATAGCTTAAAAAACTGCTTTCTTCAACTTTTAAGAGTCTCATATTGCACTTAAGATGAATTTTTTTAAATGAATTTTTATAATTTTCAAATAATTTTTTATAGTCTGGAATGGTACACATAAGCAGTAAAATCATTTTTGTGGTAAACTCGCACATGTAATTTCTTGGAACCTTTAAGTTATAAGGTACTAGTCCATATTTGACCCTTAAATAATTTGCAAGTTTTAGTTTTTTATTTATTTATTGCTTTTTTTGTTCTAAGGATTGACTCCAAAATCTTGGGCCTGTTACACAATGTTCTACCACTGAGTTATACTTTACCTTCTTGGTTTTCTTTCTTTAATTTAGTTGAAGTTTAAAACTACATTTTCTGCTATTTCCTTCTTTATTTTAGCCCTGTGAAATTATGTTAATGGGAAGTACTCAGTAAAAACTGGGTTATTGCTTCATACTTTATTTTTATTTTTTTAATTTTAATTTAAAAAAAAAATATTTATTTAGTACAGGTTTCACTAGGCAGCTCAGACTCATAGTGATCCTCCTGTTTTCAGCCTCCCCAGTGCTGGGATTACAGGCATGCATCACCACGTCCAGACTCTGTTGCTGGTTTGGTATGCCTGAGGGTGGGGCCAACATGGCATGCTGTACTGAGGATCAAACCCCATCCCTGTGCTTGCCTAAGCAGGCGCTTAGTCCTATGAGCTATCTTGCCAGCCCTTATTGCTTAGTAATTTATAATTCTTCTCTATTTCAGAATATATTGAATACTGAGATACTTTAATGAGATCCTCTTAATCACCTTTACAGTGAAAGCTTTTATGTTTCAGGTCTAAGCAGATTTTTTATTCTGAATTCTACCTTTGTAAATTGCCCTCCAGTTTTAGATCAGAATCTAATGAAAATTTTAGAATGCTTTTCCAGAAAAGGAATGAAATTGGTGAATAAGATAGATAACTGGTAGACCTATTTTAAAAAAGTATTTCATTAGCATTCCTGCCACCCTAGATCTAGGAAGTGTTAGGAATAGAATGAGAGTTTCCTCCTAGTGTGTGCTAGGGCTGCTCATTCTATTTGGTACTTATACTTGTTTTACAAGATTATTTTTGTAATGACCACGGGGATTATCTGATGTTCATTTACTTGCTTAATAGCAAAAAAATAGATAATTATCTATTGAGTAAATGGTTCTTATTATCTACTTTTGTTGTTGTTTTGAGACAGGATCTCACAATGTAGTGGAAGCTGGCCTTTAACTTGCTTATGTATCTCAGGCTAGCCTTCAGACAGCAGTCTTTTTGCCTCATTCTCCTGAGTGTTGGGATTACAGTTATGCATGACCACATCTGGCTGTTGTTTTGTTTTGGATGTCTTTTTTAATATCTTGGCCATGGATCCCATTTGTCATATGTAGTTTATTCATGAGTTCCTTTTTTTTATAAGGTATAAAATGCATCTTTCAACTATCTTATCCTTAAGGAAAAAGGCGTTACTATAAATTTAACCTCACAATATTTAAAATTCCACATTCTTCATTTCTTCTATGTAATTTTAAAATATATCCCAAACACATTATTTTAGCTATTTTAATAAATAATTTAGTAACTAATATGTATATAACAATAACAAAAGTGTTGTATGTACTCCTTACAAAATATTATGTGTGAATTTTGTTTGGCTTGATTTCCATGTCATTTAATAATGGACCAATAGAAAATAGAAATAAAACATAAAAAGTGAAATAATTTAGTTACTCTTACTGTTTTTTTTTCAGTTTTTTAATTTAGAAATTTATTGTTTAATCCACAGACTTCATATAGCTTTAGTTTAAAACACTATTTCAAAGTCCAGGCCCTTCTTCCAACTTTCTTTTATTCTTTTGGAAAGTAAAACCTTTATTAGTACAATTATTATTTCTCTTGTGCCCAGTACATATCTAGTACTAAAGTACAAGTCATAGGACCACAACAAAAAGTAATTTTTTTTTTTTTTGCTTGCTAAGGAGCTTCTGTATTTACATGGATGATGTAATAATATCTTTAAATTAAAATTTATTATAAAAGACACATTGTCAATAATCCCTCATAATCTTTCCCCTCGCTTCAAACACATTTATTTTATATTGTTCTTGCCACTTTCTGAAGCAATTCACCAAGTTCTTTACATGAGTGCTTTTGTTGCAATATTATAATTGGATGTCTTGAATTGATTCCAACATGTTTATTTTTCATAGTCATTTTAATTTTTCGAAAAGCAGGAAGTTGTACAGTGCTAGATCTGGTAAAGATAAATGACATTGTATTATTTTTATGAACTTGCCTTTCCGTTAAACAGTATGTATACTGTGGTAGCGTGTACCATAATTATGATCACATTTTATTAAAACACCAACGAAGGACCACTTGCAAAATTGCTTTAGGAAATGACAATACAGTAAATGAGTTTGAAGTGAGGGATGTGGTTTACTTTGAAGGGGATTAATGACAATATCTTTTATTGTAATACATTGTTAAAAATTTACACATTCTAAATATTTTGATCCACAGTTATATATCTGTTAATTCTTTTTTTTCTTTTCAAAGTTTTATTGATAAACATATAGCAATGAGACAGTTTCAAATCAAATTGAAAGTACAGTTTCAACAAATAATACACTGCATATATTCTTCTCAGTGGTTAATTGCTGTACAAGATGCAGACTTGTGATCCTACTTACAAACACCATTAGAACAAATCATTCTATTCATTAAGAGAATG